CCTTACATGTTGATCTTTGTTTTTATATTTTGTGAGAGATTTAGCTCGGATGGTGTTCTAGGAAACGCCCTTCAAGAAATTACTTTCTCACGCCATCAACCTTCAATACTAAAAGTAATAGAGTCAGTAATTCCGAAACATCAGAATAAAAATATAACAATACTGAAATTGAGTAAAAAGAATTCCTCAACATAATCCATTAAAATTAACGTTGGGACATAATAATAACTTACAACAAAACAAAAAAACAGAGTTACTGAAGAGCTTCAAAAACGAGAAAATTGAAAATGTTGCAGGCTCGGTTTCATTAAGCCTGTTCATGGACGGTAGTGGTAAATGCAAATTTCTATCTACGGTTCCAAGTACCTGATCAAGCAGTATTCAACATTTACACATGACAATGGTAAAACATTTGGTATTTGAAAACATCCACAGAATTGTTCATACGAAGGCGATCATGGTTCGGGAGAGCAAGTGTGGTACATCACTGCTTTAATGAATAGACAAAGTACAAAGAGATACGGATATGAAGTATAATAGTGTTGATAACTTGATGTGTAACACATTTTTTTTCTGATGAATATTTATTGAGCCTGTATCAATATTCCAAATCTCAACAGGTAAAGAAAACAACCTGCTGTTTGACAGTGTAACATCTTGAACACAGGTACCAAAAGTTACAGTCTTTAAAGCCAATCTATATATATAGCTGCTCAAAGTGACATAATTAAACTGAACGTTACCTCCTTGATGTTATCCAACGTTCTTGGTATGCTAGCTTAAGGGTCTACTCAAGAGACATCATGCATGTTGCAATTCTGTGAAAACATGGTCATATTTCCATCAAGGATATCAACTACCTTACTTGGAATAAGGAATCGTGAAAGTCACGTAAGGATATCCGGTATCAAATCAATATTTGATTATTTGTTAAATGTTCAATATTTGATTGTATCGGAGGTGTAATGATACGAGGTAAATTCTAAATGTTCGTGGACTCTTGCTGTCATTTTTTTACTTGGTTCATAAAAACAAACTTTGTTGATATCAATAAAGAAATGTCATGTGTAAATAGTAAGAAACGATTACATTTTCCAAGGTCATTTTGTCCATATTTTGCATAAATTGCTTCATATTCATCAACTTCATTTTTTCAATATATAGAGCCTGGTATCATATTGTAATACCTTGTGTTGTCAAAGACTTAAATTTGATAAAATTCGTGATATAACCATATAACAACCACCTCGTGATATAACCATATAACAACCATGACAATGTGAGCTAAAAAGTTAAAAACCCGGAGTCCTTGTACTTTAGAATTCCACATCTGTTTAGACTTTAAAAAGAACTTTTTTGTTCTTTTGTAAGTGTTGTTTTTCTTTAATAAATTAATCAATATGAAAAAACAGAATGTCATTGAGCCTTTTTTTATCAAATATTCATATCTATGTTTGAGAAAATATGCTTTTGACAAATTAAGTAAATGAAAAGCATGTTGTTTATCTGAATTTACTATAAACATTCCCAATCTGTTACAACACCAAATGTTTTGTGTTTTATTAACAATCAGTTTTACGTCAACATTGTAACTGCCATATTTTATAAATCATATGAATACTTTATATAACCTATAAAAATTATATGTGTGTGAAAGAACAAAGTTATGAGCGGGAAATTATACACAGAAAAATCACACGAAAGGTCGGCACGCCGCAGCCGGGAATCGAACAACGGTATGCTCACCACTACAGCACAGCGGCCTTTGCGTTTTCTTCGTGCTAATTCACCTTATATATTTAAATTAATAATTTATATAAGCACGAAGAAAACGCACCGATATATATATATACATATCAACAATGAAAACATTTGTAAGGTAACAGTCCGAGATGTTAGGATATGAAAATGCATTGAATTATTTTCAATTATAGGATGATAAACTTCTTGTTTTCAATGCGAATTTATTTTTGCCATGGAGACATTTGTTTATATTACAAACAAGTATAAAAATAGAATAACGCCATCTGAAATCACAGAGCTTGTCTTATTACCATGGGATTGTGAGGTCCAAATCAAGAAATGTTGGGAGGTTAATCAAATGTTGCTGATTTCTACCGTTTATAAACTGGTAGGTTCAAGCCTAACGCATCTTATCTACACTAGTTTCAACCTCACCCTCCCCCACCCTAATAAAGAGTGCATTTGGCATTGGAACATCTCATAGACCGTGGTTGTTTTCAGCTGTTTTGTTGTATTTATTATTTTCATTATTTTGGGGCTAAAGTTACTAAGTTATGACTATATTGTGTAAAGTATACATCAGTCAGTTCATCAGTTAGTAGGATATAATGTAACGTATATAACAATTATTGGCCACTCCTATATATCAATTGAGAATATCAATCCTATTTTCAATGGCTTATTTTAGGAATTGTGATCGAATTAATTAAAATTTAAAAACCAAATGTAATAGGAAATTAGCAATTGACTTCTGACCTTGAATGGGGTCACATGATCTCCTATTTGTGTATATTTTGTATCAAGTTCAATATATCTGTATGCATTGTTATGCAAGGGAAGATTAATTTTGTTATTATTCAGCTATAAATTAATGAATTACATATCCACATTTCAACATGATCGATTAAACAAAGAGAATGATTCAGATATTTTTATTTGGGTGTTACGTCGCTCCGACACATAAGAGGTCATTTGGCGACTTTCCAGCTTTACTGGTGGAAGTAAACCTCAGGCATTATTTCAATCACGAGCGGGCACCTGAGTAGAGCCACCGCCGTTCTGTAAGCTAGCTGGTTAGCTTCCTCACATGACAAAAAATCCTGGCGAGATTCGAACCAACAGCGAAGAGGGGCAAATGGATATGTTAAACAAGTTATATATGTAGTTCAGTAACGTTTTAACGCCACCATGTTTGATATTTTGGCTTGAAAATAAAACAAAATTCAAAAAATATTTTTTTCTTGGTCTTATGTCAAAATATTAAGTATTGATCTGTTTTTGAATTAATTTTTAAAAGTCTTTTTTAAGTCTTTAAAATTTTGGCGAAAGTTCCACCTTTTGCGATAAAATTCGGGTTGTCCGGGTGAAATTTTCTTATTTATTTTTTTCTTTTTTTTTTTTTTTTTTTTTTTTCGTTTCATGATTTAAAGAAGTATTCTGAAAAATATTTTTTTCCCTCGTAATGTGTTTACCTGAAATATTGCTACAGTATGCACTCATAAAATGCATGTCGGCACATTATTAACACAAATACATGTACAATGTACTTCTGAAAATATTTTGTATTACAACAAATTTGTATATTTAAAATATCGTAAAATAACGTATTTTCTATAATGATAATTATTATTAATAATAATATTATTATTTTATTATTATTATTAATATTATTACTATTATTTTGTTATTGTTTTGGTGTGGGTTGTTTTTTGGTTGTTTTTGTTGTTGTTTTGTTTGTTTGTTTTTTTGTTGATGGTGTTGTTGTTGTTTGGTTTTTTGTTTGTTTTAGGAGCTGTTGTTGTTTTTGTTGTTTGGTTTTGGGGTTGTTGTTGTTGTTGCTGCTGCTGCTGTTGTTGTTGTTGTTGGTAGTTTGTTTTTTTTGTTTTTGTTGTTGTTTTTTTTGTTTGTTTTTTTTTTTTGGGGGGGGGGTTGTTTGTTTTTGTTGTTTTCTTTTGGAAGGGGCTATGATTATTTTTAGAATGTGGTTCAGACTGGCGTTTCTAGTGGTGATACTGTTTTAAAAAACTAAATTATATATTTTCTATTGATAGCGTGTCTTCATAGGTAGTCGGTAATTTAGTTAATAAATTATTGTATTTGACATGTAACATATTGACAAACTGGTCGTCTCTATTATACATTTTGAAACGTTTTCAATTCTACTTTCGTCCTGAAAACAAGACTCGCTTATATGCGGCCTAAATCAAGTAACTTGTGTTTTTCCAATTATGCGGCATTTCTTACACTTTGTTTTCTCATTTACTTATTGTCAGATTTTGATAATTCTCAACATCCATCTATTAACCCATTGCTAATTAACTTTTCTTGAAATAAAATAAGAACATTTGGGGAGTTTCTGTCTGTTTAAAGTATCTAACAATATGTTACAAATTAAAAAGCTGGAAGACATAGAAAGGCCTATCTTATTGAAGTAAAATGGTTCGACATTTTCCTTGCTTGACACTATAATTACATGCCGGAAACATTAAATGACCATCAACTTTTCATTTTCAGAATAATTAAATAACATTTAATTGGGAAGACAGAAATGGCCAAACATTTAGGTCACGTGACTTTATAATGGTGTATACGTTAATATTTCTATTCTTTCGGCAGCTGTTTTGTCAATTTACAAGCGTCTAGTAGACAACGATTCTTCTATTAATTTTCATTACTATCCGTCTAGTGGGAAAGCATCACATTTATGAGGAGGTCGATTCTGACATTTATATGTTGATATGGTACTAAACCAGAAAAAGTGTCGGATCTTGTTACAATTATAATTGTTAGGCTCGCTGTATAATTAAATAAATCCGGACTATAGAAGCCTCTTGTAGTTATGGATTTACTTTGTTTGCCATAATGTCATAGAAAAGGTCAATTATTCTTTGCCAATATCTATATATCATATAAATTTTGTACTCTCTTTATTATTTTCAATTTGAAGTCTACATCTTTATGAATGAAAAGATGATTGTACCAGATGCGTGAACCTTTTCTAACTAAAGTAGAAAAAAATTGAAACTTTTTTCCAGTTTCTTAGAAGTGATGTGGTTTACAAGGGTTAATTGGTAAAGATACACAAATTATGATTTCTGCAGTACTGTGTGCATTATACAAAATTATAAAGATTTCTAATCAAATTTTTTCCTCGTTTCTTAATTTGCATCTGCTCCATGAGTTTTGGTCCTGGCATTTTAATTTTAGAACACGTGTTTTGCACGTGTACAATATCTTCGTAAAAACAGAATCATGTGTCACTTTCATAACTTTTATTCATTTAAAACAATTTTACAATCTATTACAATAGTTTTCATATAGTGGCAAATGGATTTCAAAAGTAATATATGCAAAACATAATGCTCAGATAAATCTAGAATTTGAAGAGCAGAGATATCATGAGATGACACATTTACAATGTATGAACCGGTGATAATGTGATCATACATTGGAATGTCTCTAATATAGGTCCATTGTATAGTAATGAAAAGAATAATGGCATAAAAATGGCGCTCCGTCCGCATATTATATTGACCGGAAGACTACGTCATTTCCGCAAAAATAATTGCATGGGTAGCGCCATATTGGATTTCATGCAGATCCGTTTTTTATTCATAAACAAAGCACTTCAAAAATATACAAACATGTACGAAATTAGTGAAATATGCGTATTTTGTACCCTTTTTCACATGCAAAAAGAACGACGATTTAGAAAGTAAATCATGAAATACCGGGACTAGACGTATATCTTCTTTATAAACGCGGCCTATAGTCTTTCTCAATGCGCCCTATAAGCCAATATATGTATATACAAACTAACTCTCTCAATTTCTTGTTAAATAAATTAAAATATTTACAAATAGTCTACAATATAACGTTTGCAGATCACCATTCATGTTGAGATTTGATACATAAATTGAAAATGTAAAAATGTGTAAGTTCCAGAAAACTTCCACTAAAATTGTGAGTAATTCATCCCTGAATGTAGGGCATAAAACATTAAAAAATATTTACATTTTTTGCTGTAAGTTCACAAAAAAGTTGTCCATTTTTTAGTCAATTTTGAGCACCGCAATCTCATTTAAAAAAAAAGTTATCAAACCACTTTTACATAAAATATATACTCACACATTAAGAAATCTTAACATTGAGACAATTGTTTCTCTCTTCTCTCTTTCTCTTTAAATCATAAAAAAAACAAATATGCCCCTAAGTAATGGGTAATATAACAATTATTGGCTATTCAAATAGTCATTTCTCGTAAATATAATCTCAAATGTTCATGTTACAATGCGAACAACAACAATAATTTATTATGGATTAACGGAGCTGTAGATGAATGAAATTTCATACAACTGTGCAGCACAAGCGAACACGATACGTTGATGTTTATAAAACAGACTCCTGTGACGAGCAAAGTCAGGTCTATTCTTAACACAGTTATCAGTGCATAAAATGTTATTCTACTCGTAAGTTTCCCTCAGTAACAGAGCATAGGGTATAGATCCTCTTCAAATAAAAACCTACTCGCTCAATTATACACCAATACATTGAGCCTGTTACTTGATAGGTCTTCACATAGGCCCGTGTATTATCATTACCACTGTCAGTTCACGAACCGTCACACACATTCTTTCGTCATTTCTATCCCTCGACCTTAATAGTCCTTTGTCACGCACGAAATTTTCTGCTCGCCCTATTCATTGTAGAATAATTGCACAAAATAGTTGTTTATTACATGTTTTTTGGTTTTAAACTTCCCTGGCTATAAATTAGGTCTTATAGCTATATACTTTGGCTTTTTGTATAATTGTGTACTTTGCAGTCTCTACAAATTTGTTTTGTTTCTGTACTGTTGTTTCAGTTTTAATGGATTAATTCCCGAAGCCAACATAAACAAAGTAACACAAAAAAACAGAGCTGCTTAATCTGAAACAGCTCTGGCAAGCCGTCACGAACACTACATCATTGCCGTACATGGCTAAACGACAAAGTAACAAAAAGTTAGCTCCCTTTCAACACTCTTTAAGCCATCGCAGGACCAACCATATTTGATGACGTAGACAAATTTAAGCCAGACGATAGCCCAGATGAGTACCCGGATGGAGCGTTTGGTATGTTTGAAAATGACGATGAAAAACTTGACTGTAAGGATGATGGGAAGGAGTTGCCGAATCCTCCCATTCCACCCGCCGATCCCTGCATATGAGGTGCCCCATGTGACAGGTAGGATGATCCGAACGTGGAACCACCGGTCATGTAGGTAGGCATTGGCGCGTGCATGGCATGATTCATTGGCGGGAAACCCGAAAATTTATCCAAAGGTCCTTTAAGAAGGTCGGACATGGCGGCTAGCTTCTTATTCTTCTTACTTTTTGTTGACATTTTTCTATTTCTTGTCTGTATCCCATCCTTCTTCATAGTCAATGGTCTGCTAACCTGGAAAATGTAGAATGAAATAATTAGTATAATTATCGAAAAAAGTATCGTATGTCCTATACATTCTAGAGAAAACAATGTATGCATTCTGTCAGCAATTGATTTATGAGAAGAAACCGTTTCTATTTGTCAGATGTAATACATATCTGAAATATAATTCATATTTTCTCATATTCCTGCATGTTTCCCCTGGTCATATGATTTACTTGGGTGTTCTTTCTCGCAGTTTTTCACGAAGCGCGTTACGGGAGCGCGGGGTTTTTATATAGTCGTAAAATTACCGTTTTCTCTCCTGTCAATTTACATCAACTTCAGTATGTAACATGTTCCTATAGCTGTGTCTGAGAAAAATACTTTCTAATTTTCTTGTCTCTGGTGGTAATTTGCTCCCAGACAAAAATGCCTGAGAATAACAATCAGAATGGAAATTTTATGAGGGGCGCCCCCTATCGACCGTATAGGTACATGGTAATCGGAGTAATAATATGGGTTGGCCAGCAACTGACCATATCCTGTATCTATTAATATTGACCACTTGACCATTATAATGAAGAACATTTCTCGCTTAATTAACTCATATACTATATTTCATGTAGATTAATTCATCGAACGCATTTCAATCTTTTTCTTACTTTATAATCTGTTTTCCGGAATGTTTTCCCATATCCAAAGATTTTCTTCATTTATCTATATGTTCGTCATATTTGTTCTAAAGTCGGTACATAAAATCTTTGGCGGGCTCGTTAATGTATACTACTCTTTGATCCAAATGATATATTTTAAGTGTTAGTAAAATAGGTCATATTTCATAATTTTAAGCTTTTATCCTGCCCGTTAATATGAACGCCCTTCAAATCACAGACAAGTCCTCTATGAATCATTATCCCTTGTACTTCTTCAGAAAATTAATTCACCTGGTTTCTAATCATTAACCTTGCCTATTTAGGATGAATTATTACAAGCTAATTAAAAATCCTTTTTTATTTCTTCTTTTTACGAAAAAAAAGGAAAAATTTGAAAACACTGAAACTAATACCAGGTTAAAAAATATAATACCCGGGTCTCTTAACGTGTTTTAATCATGAAAAAGGAATGTTACTGAGCAAGGAAATCCAAGGTTTAGCAACTATTGATCGTGGTACCCGAATCCCGGCATCTGGCGCCAGCGTAAAATGTTTAAATAGTCTTAACAATTATTGGCGGCTCGGATGATTTCATATGAAACCACTGCTCGGTGTCGGTTAAAACAGACTGCTATTTCGGTGTAGGTATACCTATTTATGGTGTATGTTTTTACAATACCTATGCTTGAATTGCTTCAGTAATAGTTGACACTCATGCTTCAAAAATGTTTTAAACTACATGGATATATTATTATACTCGAGTTGTGGAATAATTAGCTTTATTTTGTGAAAACGTACTGTCTATTTCCGTATCAATATTTTTACTGCGACCATATCGCCGTGTCTAGGTTTTGTTGACTGATTGTTAAATCTACATCGCTTGATTTCTGACATTAAATACTAAGACATAAATGTAGCAGAAGAAGTTTATTTTGCTTTTAAATTAAACCTTGTAACTACTATTTTACGGTGTCCTTATCGTGCCATTTAGAATGTCGTCCGTCGCGTCTAAGGGTAGACACACGACAATGCGAAGTGACATCGCGACAATGCGAAGCGACGCTCGACAACGCGAAGCGATATGCGACAATGCGAAGCGACGCTCGACAGTGTCAAACGATATGTCGCACTGTCGCCTAGAAATGTCGCGGTAAAAAAGGGCGACATTTAAGAAATGTCGCTTCGCGTTGTCGAGTGTCGCTTCGCATTGTCGAGCGTCGCTTCGTGTTGTCGCGATGTCACTTCGCGTTGTCGCGATGTCACTTCGCGTTGTCGCATTGTCACTTCGCATTGTCGAGTGTCGAGGTTGGTAGAAGTGCATACCACGACACTCGACAATGCGAAACGACAACGCGACAATGCGATACGACGCTCGACAATGCGAAGTGACACTCGACATCGCGAAGCGACATTTTTAAAATGTCGAGTAAATGTCGCGTTATTTTTATGATTTTTACACCGCGACGCTCGACAATGCGAAGCGACACTCGACAACGCGAAGCGACACTCGACAACGCGAAGCGATACTCGACAACGCGAAGCGACACTCGACAATGCGAAGCGACATTTGGAATAATATCGTATCGCATTGTCGTGCGTCTACCGGTGCTTGGTCAGAATTTACTAACTCACCGACAAACGGTGCGATCATGGAAGGGGTCGCACTAAACTGCTGACGAATTAGCTGACGATATAGAATATATAGGAAACTGCTGACCAGTTAAACAAAGAAGGATTATCGAAAACTGCTGACCAGTTAGATAAAGAAGGGAAAACAATGAAGGTGTCAAATTGCCGTTGGTGATATTACAGGCGAGGTCGAGAAATACTTGATAAAATGTATTTTCAAGATGTCAATATTACAAATGATACATATTAATTATAAAAAATTCAATTGATATATACTGTATATTTCTCAATTTATTTTGATATAATATTTTATTTAAGTACCTTAATGAATTTTCTTCTATGTGTTATATATTGGTTAAAATTTTAAAAATGTAGTCAAAATATGATGTACGAAAAATCATAATTTGTTTCAAGTATGTATAAAACTATGCATCATAGGTTAAAATATATACATGTACATATACGTAATGTATATTTTAACAAAATATAATTATTATGTCGTATTTAGTGCAAATATGAAATAAAGTGATTTCTGTTTCCTTATTTGTTGTTCGTATAATTGTATAAGTAATATTGAACAAAAATTAATAATGTGCTAATTGTTATAGTTAATAAGCTTTTATTACATTATAAACAACATGTTTCCACAGATATCCATTAAACTGATAATTTATCGAGATCGATATGCCCCAAGGTCATATTAAAATCGATTTCACACGCGACGTGTCATTCTTGATTTATCTATGACAAAATACAATAAACAGTCAAAAATATGTTATTAAAATGCTGACCATATTGTAGAATCTGCTGACCAGTTAGATATATAGAGAAAAATATATTTTGCCGTGAAATTGTAATTCATTTTATAATGTATGCAAATTCAATATATTTTATAAAATTATGTCGACATTTAATTAAGTAAAAACACTGCTGACCAATTTAATGTTATTTCAAATTGATTTAAGCCGTAAAACTCTTCTTATTCTATATGGTCAGCAAATTTAACGCTCTTTACATTCAGGCGAGAAAATGCTGACCAGTTAAACATACAGTAGAATCTGCTGACCAGTTAGATATATAGGGAAACTGCTGACCAGTTAGATATATAGAGAAAAATATATTTTGTCGTGAAATTTTAATTCATTTTATAATGTACGAAATTCAATATATTGTATAAAATTTTGTCGACATTTAATTAAGTTAAAACACTGCTGACTTATTTAATATTAATTCAAATTGCAATTATTGCTTTTGAAAATACATTTTTTTTCCGTTACAAGATTTTTCTATTGAAATATCACTAACAAGAGATTTTGATAAAACTCATAACATCATAATTCTTTATAAAACATTAATTCAAATTTTTGCATATCTTTAGAGGTATAAAAAGCTGTTTAATATATCCTTTTAAAATCACGGATTTATATTACATGTAGTAATGTAAATCCGTGTTAAAATGTATGATATTATGGTACTTTAAATGTATATATTAATTTAGTTTATAAACATAGTCATATAAATGCAAAAATTAAAAATATAATTAAAAGAATAAAAGTAATTTCCCATCTTTTTATTACCCCCTACGGCGTGTTTATATAACTTCACACCTTCAATGTTTCCCTTCTTTGTGTAACTGGTCAGCATTTTCCGATAATCCTTCTTTATTTAACTGGTCAGCAGTTTCCTATATATCTATATCGTCAGCTAATTCGTCAGCAGTTTAGTGCGACCCCTTCCATGATCGCACCGTTTGTCGGTGAGTTAGTAAATTCTAACCAAGCACCGGTAGACGCACGACAATGCGATACGATATTATTGCAAATGTCGCTTCGCATTGTCGAGTGTCGCTTCGCGTTGTCGAGTATCGCTTCGCGTTGTCGAGTGTCGCTTCGCATTGTCGAGTGTCGCTTCGCAATGTTGAGCGTCGCGGTGTAAAAATCATAAAAATAACGCGACATTTACTCGACATTTTAAAAATGTCGCTTCGCGATGTCGAGTGTCACTTCGCATTGTCGAGCGTCGTATCGCATTGTCGCGTTGTCGTTTCGCCTTGTCGAGTGTCGTGGTATGCACTTCTACCAACCTCGACACTCGACAATGCGAAGTGACAATGCGACAACGCGAAGTGACATCGCGACAACGCGAAGTGACATCGCGACAACGCGAAGCGACGCTCGACAATGCGAAGCGACACTCGACAACGCGAAGCGACATTTCTTAAATGTCGCCCTTTTTTACCGCGACATTTCTAGGCGACAGTGCGACATATCGTTTGACACTGTCGAGCGTCGCTTCGCATTGTCGCATATCGCTTCGCGTTGTCGAGCGTCGCTTCGCATTGTCGCGATGTCACTTCGCATTGTCGTGTGTCTACCCTTAGACGCGACGGACGACATTCTAAATGGCACGATAAGGACACCGTACTATTTATATATTTCGGTGAAATAGTTCGGTGATATCTCGGACCGAAAGCAAAACCATCCATCCGGAATAGAGAGACAAGAAAATGAACAAATTTGCTATAACGTGTTACAATACGAGCGACAGTAAATTATTCAACCATTAATGATACTATAACCACATACAAACACATTCCATTTCATATGCTGCAGCCACTTTTTCCTTTTCAATAGCATAGGCTGACCATTATGCTAGGGTATTTAATTTAACAAACAATTCAGGCACATGTCCATGTGATTATTTAATAGGCGGTGCTTCTGTCAAACAGAGAAAGTACACAGGATAACC